GTGGGACTTTCACTTCTTACTTAGAGGCTGGCTGGCTGGCTGGTTTGCTTTCTTTCTAAAAATAAAACAAGCACCTATTACTTTATACATAAAACAATTTTAACACGGATGTACCTTGAGGACATGATGCTAACTGAAATAAACCAGTCACAAAAAGACAAATACTGTATACTACTGATATGAAGTATCTAGAGTGCTCAGATTCATAGAAACAGAAAGCAGAATGGCAACCAGGGGCTGGGTGGGGAAGGGGAAATTCAGAGTTACTGTTTCATAGATTTTGACTTTCAGACACATGAGATGAGAAAGTTCTGGAGATGTTTTACAACAAGGTAAGTGTACTTAACACTCCCAAACTGTACACTTAAAAACGGGTATGTAGTAAATTTTATGTGGTTTTTGCCACAATAAAAAGAAGTTTTAAAATCTTAAAAACTGGGGGAAAAAAAACAATTTTAAGTACCTATTTTATTCTGCATTCTTGTCTCAGCCATATTGAAGTTTCTGTGAAAAACACAATTTTGCTTTTTTATAATTCTGTTTGAGCAAGTTGCACGTTCAGTGAGCTCTCCAACCAACCAAATTTCTGTGTTTGAGTACTTTTTTTATTTTGTTTGTGTATGACCTGTGGATTTTCCGCCAATGCTGGGATATTGAAGTGTCAGGATTCTTTTCCCCAGCTACAACTTAAAAAAAAAAAAGGAAAAAGGCAGGGAGGAAGAAGGGAAGGAGAGCAGGGGGAGGGGGAAAGGGAAAAAATTGCATGGAGGAAAAATCTGGAAGATTATATCTTAGACTGTTAACAGGGAATAGGACCAGGCGACACCTTCTATCCTGTATCATTTGTATGGTTTACGTTATTTTATAACGTGAAGGAAAAAAAAAAAACCTGGGGCACCTGGGTGGCTCAGTCAGTTAGGCGTCTTGCCTTTGGCTTGGGGGTCCTGGGATGGAGCCCTGCGTTGGGCTCCCAGCTCAGGGGGGAGTCTGCTTCTCCCTCTCCCTCTGCCCCTCCCCTGCTTGTGCTCTCTCTCTCAAATAAATAAATCTTAAAAAAAAAAAAAAACCCTAGGGGCGCCTGGGTGGCTCAGTTGGTTAAGCGACTGCCTTCGGCTCAGGTCATGATCCTGGAGTCCCGGGATCGAGTCCCGCATCGGGTTCCCTGCTCAGCGGGGGGTCTGCTTCTCCCTCTGACCCTCCCCCCTCTCATGTGCTCTCTCTCTCTCATTCTTTCTCTCTCAAATAAATAAATAAAATCTTTAAAAAAAAAAACCCTAAAAACATATAAAATGAAACCAATTTTTTAAATATTTAAAAAATATTTTGGTTAAAGAAAGAACCCCAAGGCTTGAGACGAGCCAGCTGGGGGGAGGCTGACTCTGAGGCTCACAGCTAGAACCACACAGAGCCTAGCTGCCCCAGGCGAGCGCGGAGCTGAGCATTGTAGGCAACTGGTGGAGTGGCTACTTTCAGGAAGGTCTGCACGTCAGGTCTGCAGCTGGTGGGAGATGCCCCCAGCCCCAAGGGGCGGGGGTCAGGGGTAGAGGCCTCAGAGGGGTAACTGGGAAAGAGATGCACAGGGATATGGGGGGCTCTGAACCCCAAAGGAAGAGGTAGGTTTGGTCCTGGCCACACTGGGGAGCCAGTGAAGGTTTCAGAGCAGAGAGGACCATAGTGAGGTCGCTTTAGGAAGTTAGTTTTGGCAGTGAGTGGACCAGTCTCTGCTGGGTCCCATCTGAGGCAGTGAGTTTGTGGGGTTGAGGGCCCCATGCCTCCTGCCCTCAGCATCCTCCCAAGTCCTACCTTCTGATGCTAAATTGAACTGTCCCAGGGTCTGCCCCCAGCAACCAGCCCCTCTCTTTTTTTTTTAAGATTTTATTTTATCTAACAGAGAGAGAGTGCGCAAGCAGGGGGCAGGCAGAGAGGGAGGGAGAAGCAGGCTCCCTGCTGAGCAGGGAGCCTGATGTGGGGCTTGATCCCAGGACCCCGGGATCATGACCTGAGCCGAAGGCAGACACTTAACTGACTGGGCCACCCAGGCACCCCACCAACGCCCCCTCTTAATGCCCTCCTACGGTGCCTCCCTTCATGCCCACAAATGAGCAGACAAAAGGGCCACAGTGTTCTGGGAGAGAATCTACCTAGAAACCTCTGCCTGCACCCAGATTCCCAGAAGCCTTTGCGTGGGACCGGAAGTGTGCCATATTGCCATCTCGCCATTCCCATGCAGGGCCTTAGGACCCCCATGTAAGGACTTTGCAAGGAGTTCCTGTCCCTCCGACAGGCCAACCACCACCACCATTACTGTACCTGGTGAGCCCCAGGTCTGGGCCCTGCAACATCCCAGCCTCCTGTCCATCCTGCTGCCGGCCAAGGGCTGTGACTTTGCCCATCTCGTGCTGATACTCAGGGCCTTTTCCCATCTGGCCCCAAGCAGCCTCATTTCCCACTGCTCTCTCCTGTGGCCTCGCTGCTGACTTGAGCAAGGCTGTGGGACCCCCCCCACCAGGTTTTTTTGGTTTTTTTTTAAGATTTTATTTATTTATTTGACAGAGAGAGACACAGCAAGAGAGGGAACACAAGCAGGGGGAGGAGGAGAGGGAGAAGCAGGCTTCCCGCCGAGCAGGGACCCCGATGCGGGGCTCGATCCCAGGACCCTGGGAGCATGACCTGAGCCGAAGGCAGACGCTTAACGACTGAGCCACCCAGGCGCCCCCCCCCTTTTTTTAAAGATTTTATTTATCCCCCACCAGGTTTTGTTCAGGCCATTCTCCCTCCCTCACCAATTGCACCTAACGCAGCGCATGACACGCGGCGACATACTGCATGAACCTACACTTGGGCAAGAGACAAACTCAGGGTGCCCCTTTTGCCTCCCAGCTCTGTGGCCCACCCTCGCAGCTGGCCCTGTGCCCGGGGAGAGCTCTTCCCCCGAGTCCCCACAGCCCACCCTGGTCTCACACAGCACCCTTTGTCAGGCCTCCGCTCCCAAGGGCATCTTATCTGCCTAAACAGGTTGTAATCCGCCAGGGTCACGGACCCCCTTACTCCTGCCAACTGGGAGTAAACAAACCCTTTTGCCTAGAGGGTGGCGGCAGCCCTGTGGAGTCCAGGACTCACCAGGCTCCTCCCAGGGCTGCAACCCTGCGGCCTCCTTCCCCCTGGGCCCTGCAGGAAATTTCCACTCCCTGCCCTCAGCGCCCCCAGGCCCTAGAACCAAACTCTGAGCCCCCGCCCCCAGCAGTCTCCCCTTCATTGTGCTGCTCTGGCTTCCTCCCCTCAGTCCCCTGAAGCTGCTTTCGTGACAGCGCTATCACGCCCCCCTCCCCCTTCTCCCTGCCAGAAGCACCGCCCCCAAACTTCTGCAGGCCTCCTCCTCCTCCTTCAGGCCTCAGAAGAATGTCACCTCTACAAAGTGCCCTGTGTCATTGCCCCGCAGTCCTTAGCACCCTCCAGGGCCTGTCTGGGACAGAACTGCCACAGGGCCCCTCCCCTTCCTAGAACTCCCTAGAACCTGGAGAACAGTGCCTGGACCTGTCTCACCCATGAGGGAACCAGGGCTCTGAGAGGTGAAGTGACTTGCCTGAGACACAGGAACGGGGGAGGAGGGACTGGAAAAGCCAGGTGGGCTTGGTTCCAGGAACCCCACACACCTCTGGAGCTGTAAGGCCTCCACCCAAGCTGCAAAATACATGACTCACTGGCCGGCTGCAAAAGCTGGCCATCCTGTGTGTGAGCTCCCAGCCTGGAGGGTGTGGGCACTGTGCTGAGGAAGCCCACAGCAGGACCAGAGAGAGCCAAGCTGGATCCAAGAGACACAGGAAACAGAACCAGAGTTTAGGTGCATTTATTCCTGTACAAATCATTACAAAACCAAGTGTGGGGTAGTCGCCGGCTCCCAGCCCCCACCCCAATGTGCAAAGGCTTGCTGCTGGCCTCTTCCTCCTCCACCTGACCCCTCCCGCTCCACAGCCTCCTCCAGGAAGCCCTCCAGTCTTCCCTTCCAGGCTCTGGAAGAACAGGGGCAAGCCCACCCCACTGAGGTCCAGCAAAAAAGTGCCTGATGTAGAGTAAGGGGGCAGAACCCAGGCGACGTGGCTCCTAGTCCCCTGAGAGCCTTCCCAGGCCCAGCTGAGGGGAGACCCTTGGACGACTGCAGCAGCTGCAGACAAAGGGACTGCGTGAAACCCCAGTTTGGCTGGGATTCGCCTTTCTCAGCCCCAAAGGCTACTCCAACAGGTGGAAAGCCTCATTGCTGGATGGCAGAAAAGGCAGCCTGGCTCTTTAAGAGCCAAACTAATGGCAGCTGAGTGGAGGGACTAAGAAAACAGCTGAAGGTTTGTCCCTTTCCTATTAGATACCTGCCCCCCGCAAACCCTGTGGGAGTTTACGCAAAAATACCCTAAGTTTCCAGAAGGAGGTGAGGAAAGGGACTCTAGACTCCCAGGGAGTTGAGCCCCCCAGCAAGGGGTGGTGGCTGGAGGGGTCCAGTCTTAGGGAAGACAGACCCAAGGAGGTCAGTGGGGAAAGTAGGTGGGGGCCTCAGACTCCACGTTAGAACCTGACACGGGCAGGAGGGCGACCAGAGAGGGGGCAAGGGTTTTGTCCAAAGCCACTCAGGGCAGAGCCAAGACCCGGATGCTGGCTCCCACCTCTAGGAGCCACCCCACCCCAAACACCCCACAAATGCCCTGGCCTGGCCTCCAGACACAGCTCCCACTCCCATGCAACCTCTCTTTCTGGCTCTGGGAAGTGAGGGAGCAGCACAGAGCCCCCAGCTCCGCAGGACAGGACCCCCTTGTCCCAGCCAACAGGGAGTGATGGGGGGGTCCATCCTGGGGCTCTGAACCAAGGCCTTGTGGGAAAGCACACGTCCTTAGCCTCAGATAACTTCAGAAATACCCTGATTGACTATGCTCAGACCCTGACTGGACAAGAAATACCTCCAATACCCCTGATTAACCACATAGCTCAAATCCCTGATTGGTCAAGAGACACCCCAGGCCCTCACTGGCTGGAGGATACAAGGCCCAGATTGGCCCGAAGACACTCCGGGCAGCCTTGATTGGCCAGGAGATGGCCCTTGGTTGAATGGCTGGGAGGACAGTGGCCTCCGGCGTGCCCCCGTGAGAGGTCCACAGGCAGGGTGGCCTAGGTCCAGGAGGGGTGGGAGAAGGTGATTCCATACAGCTGGGCCCAGGAGGAGAAGACCCTCTTCTCGGTGATGAAGCGGTGGTGGTTGCCCTTGCGGCTGTGCTCATTCTGGATGTAGGTGACGCACTCGTCTGGCCCCTTGGGCTCATAGTAGTGGTAGGGCATGCGCTGGCGGCGGGGCCGCTGGCTGGGGCAGAGCAGATGGGAGCAGTCAGGGCAGGGGGAGGCACCAGCGGGGCCCTTGCGCTTCCCAGCTCCTGACTTGCTAGAGGACTTCAGTGGGGGAAATCCCTGCCCCTCCCGGAGCCTCAGTTTCCCCATCTGTAAAATGGATGTAGGGTGGACTAGATTTATGACCACTCAACTTTTTTTTTTTCTTTTAATATGACTGAAACTTTTCCTTTCCTTAAGAGGGTGGTAGTGTAGGGTAGTGGAAAGAAGTAAGGGCTCTGGAGCCTGGCCCCAGTGCTTACGGTGTGTGGGACCTTAGGCCACTCACAAAACGTCTTCCTTAGTTTTTCTCATCTCCGGAACAGAAAGAATAAGGCAACTGTCCACTAGGGTCCCTGTGAGGAGTAAATGACCTAACAAATGTAGCCAGGCCTGGAACATGGTCAGTACTCGGTGAAGAATAGCTGTCACCTAGCAGGCTTGTCGTATAATATTATTAATGATAGTGATTATTAATATACGAACTCTGGACTCTGGCTGAGTTGAGGGGAGGCCCCTGAGATAGCTAGCCCCACGAAGCCTAGATCTCCACAGAGCAGTTTGAAGACCATTAAATAGAGGCCCTCAAAGGCACCCCCCCAGCCAAAGTTTCCGGGGTTCCATCCTGCAACCAGTGACTGGGTGTTGTTGGGAGGGGGGGCTCACCTGCAGTAGTCGGGGGGGACCATGCCATAGACGTGCACGTGGTCACACAACTCTACTGCAATCACCATGGTAAACCAGCCGGTGCTCAACCACGAATGGGACTTTTCCCTGGGGGCAGAGAGGGGGCATGATGAGGGGGCATGCAGATGGGAAGGAATGGTCAACCCACCTGGAGCTTCCCAGAACTCCTCCCACGCCCCCTCCATTGGGGCCCTCTCCCCACTTCGGTGACCCCCTAGTCCAGCCCCACCGTGGGAGCATGTACATGCTGGCAGAGGGCTTGTCTGGGCGGAGATGCGGGGTGTGGGGAGAGCTCTTTTGAAAGAACAGCGCATGCTGGGAATCAACTCCTGGGGAGATTAGTCACAGTAGGGCAGGTTGCAAGTGACCATGAACTTACTAGACTCATGGTCTTGCTTGACGGAGCTTGCTAGAAGCCGCTGTGCCCACACTAGAAGCAAACGCCTAACGGGAGTCTCATCAGAGAAGGTCACGCTGTGACCACAGGTTCAGAGCAGGGCATGGAAAGGAGCCAAGGGCCTAGAATTGAGCTGCCCACTACAGCAGCCAGGAGCCACATGTGGGCACATGGGGGCACATGACGTGTGGCTGAAATCTGCTATCAGTATAAAATATGCACGGGATGTTTTAGTATGAAAGAAAGAACACAGAAAACGTCACTGGTAGTTTTTGACTATATGTTGAACTGAAAATAGTTTGGATATATTTGATTGAAGGTGGTTCTTTGGGATATTTAAAAAGAAAATAAACCTCTCAACGAGACTGACAAAGAGAGAAAAGACACAAGTTACCAATATCAAGAATAAAACAGAGGATATCATCACAGACCCTGTAGACATGAGAAGGGCAATAAGCAAACCATAAACAATTACGTACACAAATTTCCCAACTTAGATGAAATAGGCCAATTTCTTGAAAATCAGAAACTACCAAAACTCAGCCAAGATCAAACAGATTAACCTGAGTACGTGTGACTATTAAGAAATTGAATTCATTGTTCAAAACCTTCGAAAAAGAACTCTCCAGGCCTAGATAGCTTCACTGGTAAATTCTACCAAACATTTAAAGAAAAAATAACACAATTCTACACATTTTCTGAGGCCAGCATTACCCATAAGACCAAAGTCAGGTAAAGACAGTACAAAAACAAAACTATAGATCGATACCTCTTATGAACACAGACACAAAAATCTCAACAAAATATTAGCACATCATATCCAGCAGTATATAAAAATAATACACCACAAACAAGTGAGGTGCTGTATTATTGGTGGTGTAATAACCAGTTTATTCCAGAAATGCAAGTCTGATTCAATATTCAAAAATCAATCGATATTCAAAAATATATATGGTAGTATAATCCACCACAGTAATAGCCTTAAGGAAAACCACATGATCATATCAGTTGAGGCAAAAAAAAAAACACTTGATAAAATTCAATATCCAATAATGATGAAAACTCTTAGCAAATGAGAGAAGGGAACTTCTTCAACAGGACAGCTAAAAACTCTACAGCTAACATCTTATTCAATGTTGAAAGACCAAATGCTTTCCAACTAAGACTGGGACCAAGGCCACTCTCCCCACTCCCCACACAATTTGACCTTGTATCAAAAGTCCTGGCCAGTGTAATAAGGCAAGAAAAAGAAATAAGACGTATACCCATTGGAAAGGAAGAAATAAAGCTGTTCTGAATTACATGTCCTTGCAACATGACTACGTGTAAAGAAAATCCCAATGAACCTAGAAAAATCTCCCAGAACCAATAAGTAAGGTTTAGCAGGATTATAGGATATAAAGTCAATACATAAAAATCAATTGTATTTCTGTATACTAGCAATGAATAATTAGGAAACCCCTAAAATTTTAAATATAGTTTATAATAGCTCCCTCAAATCTTAAATATTTAGGCATAAATCAAACAAAGTATAGGATCTATATGCTGGATGTATTGGGTTAAATAAACTATATTAAAATTAACTTTACCTGTTTCTTTTTACTTTTTTAATTTGGCTACTATAAAAATTTAAATTACATATATGGCTTGTATTATATTTCTATTGGATAGCACAGGCCTAGCTGCTTTGGGGAGATCAGCCAGAAAAGGACATGCTGGGAAAGATGTATCCTTAGGATAGAGCATGCTGGGAGCAACTATGTGCCTAAAGCAAGACATGCTGGGTACAGTGAATACCTGCCACGAGCTATGGGGAGCTCTCCTAGAAAGATGCTAGGCATATGCCACCTTAGAGCAGAGCATGCTAGGAGCCCTGTTCCCTCAGAGCAATGCATGCTGGGAGGAAGCCCTCCTTGGGAGACAACACAATGCCGAGCATGTTGGAAGTGACTCCTGCTAGGGGCTGGACATGAAGAAAATTCCCAAGGAAAACCTAACCAGAGGGTGGCAGGAAGTGACCACACCCTCAGAACAGTGCATGCTGGGAATAAAAGGTCCTCTGGGCAGAGAATGCTGCGGGAGAGCACAGGGCTGGCCAGAGGGGGCAGGCAGGAGGCTGGTACCTGTCCTTGCCCGTCTCACCCCGGAAGAGGTCGTCAAACTGGCGCATGCGGCCGGGAGAGACGGCATAGGCCTCCATGTTGGGGAACACCAAGCCTGCCCGCTGGATGACACGCACAAGGCTGCCCTGGGGCTTCTGCATCTTGTTTGGGGGCCCCCAGAAGATGAACACGGTTTCAGGGGTCCGGTTGACGAACTCCTGGGGCCTCCGCAGCACACGGAATACGCTGGAATGGGCTATCACACGGAAGGTGGTCTTGTTGCCTACGTCGGCTGAGTAGCCCGTGGTGGGCGCGTCGTTCATGCGGATTGTGCACTCGGCTCGTTCAATCTCGGGGCCCAGCTTGGTTCCCAGCAGGTGGCTAGAGCTGGTGACAATCACACACTGGTGGCACCGGGAGGGCAGTGTCTGGGAGGGGGCAAGGAAAATCAACACTGTCTGTCACGTCCACTCAGTGCCAGGCCCTATGCTCTGTAATCCAGGCCTCTAGGAGGCAGGAATTATTTTGCTCATTTTATTTCTATTCATTTACTCATTTATTTATTTAGAGAGCACGGCGGGGGGGGGGGGGGGCGGGGGGGGGGACAGAGCAGAGGAGAGGGAAAGGGAGAGAAAGAATCTTAACCAGGCTCCACGCCAAGCGCGGAGCACAATATCGGGCTTGAGATCATGACCTGAGCTGAAATCAAAGAGTTGACTGCCCAACTGAATGAGCCACCCAGGTGCCCCTATTTTGCCCATTTTTTTAAAAGATTTTATTTATTTATTTGACACAGAGAGCAAGAGAGCACAAGCAGCGGGAACAGTAGACAGAGAGGGAGAAGCAGGCTCCCTGCCAAGCAGGGAGCCCAATGCAGGGCTCGATCCCAGGACCCTGGAATCATGACCTGAGCCAAAGGCAGACGCTTAACCATCTGAACCACCCAGGCACCCCTATTTCGCCCATTTTAAAGACAGGGAAACTAAAGGCTATTCACTTGATATTCAACAAATATTACAGCAAGCTGGCTAATGGCCAAATACCAGAGACAGAGCAATGAATAAAAGGGACCCCACTCCTGCCTGCAAGAGTTTCACGGTCAAAGAGACAGACAGTAAACAGATGAAAGACAAACTAATGATAGATGGTGAGTAAAACGTGCTACAAAGACAATACAATAGGGGCAAGGGATCAAGAGGGACAGGAGTGGGGACTACTCTAGAAACATCACGGGGCGGGGGGGGGCCTCTTGGAGCTGAGACCTGGAGGATGAAAAGGAACCACATAGGAAAGTCCTCAAGGCAGGAGGAACAAGCAAGACCAGAGGTTCTGAAGTGCGAATGACGACAGTGTGTTGAGAAGCAAAAGAAGGCCCCTCGGCTAGGGCAGACTGAAGGAACGGGACAGGGCAGTCACGCAGGGATGTCCCCAAAGTCACACAGCAGCACAGTGATGTACAGTGTTTGGGTAGGAACCCAGGTCTATGTGGCCACAGAGCCCCCGCGTTAGTCCAGTTCCCCTAAGGCGGCATCCTCCCCAGGGCACCCATAACATTTCCACACTACCCACAAACAAGACACCACCTTGTCAGTCAGGAAAGGGCGTGGAAGCCCCTCTGGGCCTCTGTTTCCCCACTGGCGCATGAGTTGGAACCACATGTTCTCTGGGGCCTATTTTCTGCCCATGGAATCCTGTTTACCCTTTAAGCCTAAGCTCAGGTGCTACCTCCTCCAGACAGTCTTCCCTGAGCCTTACTCCAAAATCCAACAACAGGTCCCATGGACCTCAACTGATGACTTTTCCAGCTTTCTTGGGCCCTACTGGCTGCCCCTCTCTGGCTGGAAGCAGCTACAAGCCCAGCACTGCCTCATTCCCTGCTGTGTCCCACACTCAAGCTCTGCCACTTTTTCCCAGGTTCCATTATTTTTATTTTAAGAGTTCTTAGGGTCTCAATTAGGTGCTGATCTATGGGCCCCTTCCCAGTAAGGGTGCATTCAGATCCTGAGAGACTTAGGAGGATTTGTGAGGGAGGAGATGGAGACAGGCAGGATTGGGAGACCTCCTCCTCCTGGAAGGTGTCCATATTCCAGGCCATTCATTATCTCCCTGGCATCCTGGAAAACATTTAGGGTTTAGAGGATTATAGGGTGAACCCCAAAAACACAACCTGAGTCTCATGGCTACCCAAGGCAAACAGAAGCCCCAGGAATAACATTTGGCTTCTCTGCACAGCTGCAACTCTGAGGGGGGTTGGGGCAATACCCTGGCTCCTCCCCTCCCTTGCTGTGTGGCTTTGGATAAGTGACTTTACCTCTCTGAGTCTTGGTTTCCCCATCTCTTCAAGGGGGCTAACAGTGCTGACCTCACAGGGTCGGTATGATGATTACTGCTAGTCACAGTGCCCAACACACAGCAGGCAACTGACAAAGGACAGCCATTATTATGACTGTTTTTGTACTGTCAAGTACTCGAGTGCTCAGCTCCCAAACCCTGTGTGGACTCCCCAGCAGAGACGGAGATCAGTGAAGACCAGAGACACCTCTCCTTAGGGATTCTAACTCAGGAGGCAGTAGGATATCAGTGCTAAAAATGGGACCTTGAAGAAAACGGAGGCCCAGAGACAGACAAGGCACCTGTCCGAGGTCACACAGCCAACGGGGAGGGGGCTGAAGGCACTGGAACCGGGGCCTTGACTCCTGGGTCCCCCCCTTTCCTTTAGGAGGAATGGAAGTAGCAGAGAGAAGAGGTGGAGGAGGTGGGAACAGAGATGGTGGGCAGTGGGGACGATGAGCCATCAGCCGGGTCTTGGAGATCTCCCCAAAGCGGTCACGCTACCTTGTTGCCGAGAATCGGGACGTACGCGTCAGTGATGCTCCACTTCTTGAGGTCGACCGGCCTGCGGGTGCGGCCCCGCGGGGAGCCGTAACGGAAGACATCATGGGCACTGTTGGAGCTGTAGACGATGAGGATGGTAATGAGGGCGAAGAGAACCACGAACACTGCTGAGCGCTGCTCCTGGAGAGGGGAGAGGCTGGTAAGCGCCCAGCCACCCCACAGGCCCCCACCTCAGGGCCTTGCCACCTGCCGTGCCCGGCTCACTCCTGCTCGTCATTCCAGACGGGTTCAGGCACCACCCCCTCTGGCCCCCTGAGTACCCCCATCCCGGCACCGGTCACACTGCATTCAAACTGCCGTCCCCCCCGCCACCACCAGTTAGGCCATGAGCTCTGTGGGCTGGGACCGAGGCAGCTCAGGAAAACGTGAATGAATGGATCACTCTGACACCGTCAGAGTGATGCTCAGAACATTCTGTCGTCTTTGACTCTGACCACTGCCCCTCCCCCCCCGGACCCTTCCCAGTCACCTGCTCAGCCAATCCTTTACCACAGATGGACCAGTCAAACCTAGGAGGACAGAGGTAGACCTAGCCCAGAGAGAGACAGGAGCTTGCCCAAAGCCAGAGATCAGTGGCCACAGCAGAGCTCAAGCCAGGGCCTCTCAGGCATCAGGCACTTCTTGGGAGGGAAGAGACACTGGTGGTGGCCTGGGCCTGAGGCAGGTCCAGAGGAGCCCATTTTGCTGAGGAAGTAAACGGCTGAGATGGGGACAAGAAATGAAGGGGGACTTACTTTGTTGCTACTCATCTCTCTCCGGCGTCTGCTGAGGGGCAGGGGCCGGCGTCCTGCAGGTGGCCCAGGGGGCAGGGATGTGGGGTCACACCTGCAAGTCACAGAAAGGATATGGCTTGGGCGCTCTCCCCTAATACGGCTGATCAAAGGCTACACCCTCCCCACCCAACCAGCTCTCCTAGCCACCCATGACTTCAAGGCTCAGGGCCATATCCATTTGGCAGAGAGAGATACTGAGGCCCAGAAAGGGCAGGAACCTACCTGAGGTCACACAGCCAGGTGGTGGCAGAGCCCTGTCTCTCTCCTTGCCCCTGGCTCTCTCCCACTCTGCTTGCTGAGCAGGGACCTCCCCACACCTTAGCTCTCCTAGAGGGCTGGCAGGCCTTAAAGCTGGCTCCCCAGCTGAGGGGCTTGTCCGCCACCCACACACACTCCCAAACTCTGACTTAGGTCCCCGTGGCCTTGGAATAAAGCAATATTCCTTCTAGGTACCCAAACTCTTCTGCACAGGCACCCTTCCAGATCTTGCACAAACTGTCCCCTCTATCTAGAACACCCTGCCCTCTTGCACCCTGCTCATGCCCTCTCATCCTCCAAGCCTGGGGTAGGCCAACAACTTCCTGTGTGTCACCTCCCGGCTAGGCTGAGAGCTCTCAGATTTTCACTCACATTCTCTGCTGTGCCTCTGAAGCCACGGAAATGGGTGCAGGAGGTTCGCTGAATGACTTCGTTAATTAACAATAAGATCTTCGGCGATTAAGGGCAGACTCAGCATTGGGCTATAATCACAGCCCCACCCTGAGAGTGGGGGTGGGGGGGTCCCCAGTAACGATGCAGCCCAGGACAGCCCTTCCTTCCTGCCCATCTGCCCTCAGCGGCCGTGGCTGTGAGGGGACATCCTCACAGGTCCTAGCTCCCTCCAGACCTCAATTTCCCCACCTGTCAAAAGGGAGTAAGTACTTGCATCCAGCCACCTCCACCAGATACAAGGCCAAAGGGAGAGTGTGCTGAGGGAGAAACGGGTGCCCTGGGCTCCCCAGCTCCCTCCTCCCCCCCAGGGGCCTCCCAGCTCCCGCCGCTATCCCCGCCCCCTGACCTGGCCGCTGTTTACTCCTACACAGCCACCAGGAATAGTCACAGAACCTCAGGCCAAAGGAGGCTCCCCCCAATGCCGCTCCTGATTGGTTGGGCCCCGACTCCGCCCGCTGCCCAACCCCGCCCTTTCTCCGCGGGAGCCCCCCTGCTCCCAAGCCGGGTCTCACATTTCTCCCCGGCCGGAGGGCCAGTCAGGGAGCTCTCGGGACTCTCATTGGGTCCAGTGCCCGCGCGATACAGATCAGGAAACTGAGGCTCATTAGGAGAGAAAAGCAGCTTGTCTTTGGACTCACAGCCCGTTAGGGCTCAAGACAGGAGTCCAGAATCCCTGCGTCGCACCCACCAGCACTGACCCTCTGGCAGTCCAGGCCCTCACGGTCTAGGCGGAACCTCTCCTCTCACTACCGTTTCCTTCTTATGCCCCCCCACCCCCCACCCCCCGCTCCAGACACACCAGGGCACTCCAGTTCCCAGGCTCACCCCCTGCTTTCCCACCTTTGCCTGAGCAGTGCCCTCAGCCAGTACCACCGACCCCCTGGGTCAGCCCTGTCACAATCCTGCTCTGATAAGGCCATGGTCATACAGCATCTCAGGTGCCAGTGTGAATCCCGGTTCCACCACTTAACTGGCTGAGGGGCCTCGGGCAAGCTATGGGACCTCTCTGAGCCTCAGTTTCCTCATCTCTGAAATGGTAATAATAAGGGTAGGTAACTTACGGGGTTGTTGAAAGGATTCGAGCAGATGTGGCAAGGGAAGCACGGGGCTTGAAAGTGCTCGGTCAGTGCCTGTCAGTAGCTGCTAGTCTTGTTATTCATTGTTGGAAGCCTTCCTCACCTTGAGCTTTCGAATGAAACACTGCCCCTTCTCCGACACCTAGCCTAGTCACTTCCCTCTAATATCGAAGAAGGTGTGCAGGAAGCCACACTACGCATCACCCACTCACCCCATCCTCCGGGCAACGCTGCAAGGGAAGGGCTCTCATTCCCCATTTCACAGGTAAGGAGACTGAGGTTCAGAGAGGCAGAGCTGCCCAGAGTGTGCTGGGGAGCCTTGTTTACACGCTTGTTGGCAGGGAGCAGCCCGGGGCTGAGCCTGTCAGGATCTCCCTCCAGGATCTCCCCGGGCTGCAATGTGCCAGAGGCCACCAAGTTCGTGCTCGGGCACCTGGCCTAGCACTGGCGAGCAGGCCTGCTGGGGAGCGACTTGCTCAGGCTGGGGAGGCGGCAGCCCAGAGCGCTGGGCCAGGAGCGTGTCCTCAGCCCCGAGGCGGGCAGTGCAGGAGGGCTCAGTCCGTGGGCTAAGGGTGGGGGCCACACCCTGCCCTCTGTTTGGGGGCTTTGCCTCTCTCAGCCGGGGGAGTCCTCCTGCAGGGTCGAGACGCCCCCACGAGCCGCGTGGGAGGAGGGCTCCGGGGAGAAGGGGGGGGCTCCTAATGTCTACATGGGGGATCGCTGAGCCCGTGGGTCCCCCGGTGGGGGGCGACTCACCCTCTCCGCCCCCTCTTGCGCTGACCCCCTCCCTAATTCCCGCACTCGGGGCGGTCCAGAGTCCTAGCCCCAGCTGGGAGGAGGAGGGAGGCAAGACGGCGGCAGGTCCCCGAGCTCTAATAGGGTAGTCAGCGGCAGGGGCCGCGCGAACCCTGCGACAGCCCTTGGGCGCGAGGACCGGGGTCTCCAGGCGCGGCTGCCGAGAGTGGGTCTAGGGGAGCCCTGGGGCCCCGCATCTTCCCCCTGACCGGGGGCTCCCGGCCCCTGCCCCGGGGTGCAGGCAGCGCCCCCCTCCCGCTGCCCGCCCCCGCGCGGCGCCCGCTCACCTCCCCCGGGGAGCGCCCGGCCCCCCGCGGCCCCCGAGCCCCCTCACATGGCGCCGGGAGCCGAGAGCCCGGGTCCGCGCTGCTCCGGCCGCCCAGGCCCCGCCGCAGCCCCCGCCCGCCGGGTCCTAGCGCCGCTGCCGCCGCCCCCGCCGCTCGGGCCCAGGCCAGGGAGGCGGGCGGAGCCTGGAGGGGCCGCGGGTGGCTCCGCCCCGGAGCGGCGCCGGCGGGGAAGGGTGAGGGGCAGGCGACCCCGAGCCCTGACTGCACTGGCGCGTCGCTTGCTCCTCTGGGCAGTCGGTAGTGGCAATGAAAAAAAAATCACAACAGCCTTCCGGAGCCCTTCAGTGTGAGTCGGACCCGCTTCTATCTCGCTTTATTGCCTCCACGACCCGGATGGGGAAACTGAGTCCCGGGGCACACTGCGCTTGGAATCAGTTGAGTTTCTCCTGGGCTCCCCTACCCGGGGCCTCCAGAGCCCTGTATCCACTAGTCACCGTGGGTGAACTCAGGGGTCCTCCCTTGGATTCAAGTCCAGCTGTGCCATCTACTAGCTGTTTGGGGTTGCATATTACTAACCCTTCCTCTGCCTCTGGAAAATTGGAAGAACGACCTCATAGGGTGTTGTTAGGATTAAAAATGTTACGTTACTTCTTAGAGTTAATCGAGGTATTCATGACATCGTTTTATGTGATGTGGCCGTGACAGGGGCCTGCTTAAAAAAACAAAGGAACAGCCCAGCTAAAATGAAGGATGCAGATCAATATGCACGGACAGGAAGAAATGTCCAGGATATTTACAGGCTATTTAAGTGAAGAAAGCAAGTGAAAGAAGTTAATCATTCTGGAAAAGGAAATTGTAAAAATTTGCTTTCCGTTCCTGGATATGTACCCTGGAGAAATTCTTGCACATGTGCACAAGGAAGTTTGGAGCAGCAGGGCTTGACATAACACAAAACTGGAAACAGCCCATATATCTGTCAACAGGAGAATGGATTTGTTTCCTTGGCAGGATGCCGAGATGGAGTATTATATAGCAGGGGAAAATGAATGAGCTACAATGACATGGATGGATTTTAGAAGCATCAGCAGTGAAAAAGACAAGTCCTGGAAGACAAATAAAACTATACACTGTATTGGGTTTTTTTTAAAGATTTTATTTATTTAGGGCACCTGGATGGCTCAGTTGGTTAAGCGACTGCCTTCGGCTCAGGTCATGATCCGGGAGTCCCGGGATCGAGTCCCGCGTCGGGCTTCCTGCTCAGCGGAGAGTCTGCTTCTCCCTCTGACCCCCTTTCCTCTTGTGCTTTCTATCTCTCATTCTCTCTCTCTCTCTCAAATAAATAAATAAAATCTTTAAAAAAAAAGATTTTATTTATTTATTTGACAGAGAGAGAACACAAGTAGGCAGAGAGGCAGGCAGAAGCAGACTCTCCACTGAGCAGGGAGCCCGACGCGGGGCTCGATCCCAGGACCCTGGGATCATGACCTGAGCCGAAGGCAGCCGCTTAACCAACTGAGCCACCCAGGTGCCCCTATACACTATATTGTTTAAGCATATAGCTGGCACCCCTCACAGCCAGAGACACGTTTAGCTTTTGCCTATCCAAATGATTGAAGTGTTAAACCAGCAAAAGTCAAGAACACAGCTGTCTCCGTGGGGGAGGCAGGGATGCAAGGAAGGGGAGGGGAGGGGAGGGGAGGAAACACAGAGGCATGCAGTTCTAATACCACTCTGGTCTTTCAGCAGGGACCTGGGTTCAAGAGGTTTGTTATATTATTATGTTTTATAACTTACAAGTATGACGCATGCCATCATTTCTATGTATTACAGTATTCAAAAAGAAAAGAGAAGTGGGAGATAAATGAAAATATGGAAAGACCTTTTGCCTGTCAGTGATTAAAGTGTTAAGAGTGGTTATTTCCAGGGACGCCTGGGTGGCTCAGTCATTAAGCATCTGTCTTCAGCTCACGTCATGACCCCAGAGTCCTGGGATTGAGTCCCTTATCGGGGAGCCTGCTTCTCCCTCTGCCTGCCACTCAGCCTGCTTGTGCTTGCTCTCTTTCTGACAAATAAATAAAATCTTAAAAAAAAAAAAAGTGGTTATTTCTGGAATGATGAGATTATGGGCTGCTTTTGTTTTTTTGTGGGTTTTTTTTTTGAGGAGGGTGCTTCACTGTATTTTCTAGAAATTTTAAGATAGTGATTACACAATGTTTTTATATTTAAAAACTGAGTTTTTAACTTAGAAAAAAATGAACTGCATCTATAACACGATTTCTCTAAAAAAATGTACACAAAAGGTCTGGAAGAATCCACACTGGACTACTGGTTGTAGTTTCCCCCGGAAAATGGACGTGGGGCAGGAGGGGTGGGTGCTACCTTCACCTTTTGCTTTGTTAAGTTCCAGGTTGTTTACACTGAACTCATTTGTTTTGTTTTGTTTTAAAGATTTCATTTATTTATTTGACAGAGAGAGAGCATGCACAAGTGGGAGGGGGGTGGCAGAGGGAGAGGGAGAAGCAGACTCCCCGCTGAGCAGGGAGACCAACGTGGGGCTGGAGCCCAACGTGGGGCTCGATCCCAGGACCCTGAGACCATGACCTGAGCCGAAGGCAGATGCCCAACCAGCTGAGCCACCCAGGCGCCCCTGGACTCATTTGTTAATACCACTTTGTGTTCCCTTAAAACAAAAGTGGGCTGCGGGCGGGCCCAAGGTCTGTCTTCTAGGCTGTGGAGACACCCCCACTGGGCAGGAGGGCTCAGTGGAGAGAGCCAAAGGTGGATTCAAGGCTTCTTGCGCCCCTGCAGTCCAACTCCTGCTTCCTGAGCCCCACCCAACTTCAGCCACCAGAACTTGCCCTGCCAGCCCCAGGACAGAAAACCGCGGGGCAGGGAACAGAGCAGCCCAGTGGGAAGCCTGATGTTGGGGGTTCAGAGAAGAGGAGCCCCTTGCCCGAAGTCACCCCGCAGGTTGGAGGCTATACCAGGGGCGGGGGTGTCCTGTCCCCAGCTCTGCTTCCTGCCCCAGGCCAATGACAGGGACTCCGGAAATCAGAAAGTGCGACAACCCAGCTCCTGGACCAAATCCGGACCTGGAGCTCCCCCCTCAGGCCTGCCATGTCTGCGGGCCCAGGCTGACTCCAGAAGCCTCGGCTTTAGGGCCGGCTTCCCTCTCCTGGGCCCCAAGAACAAGAACAACCATGTCAATAATCACAAGGATAAGAACAGCTCCGGTGTGTCGGGTGCTTTCTCCTTTGCTAAGCACTTTGCAGACAGACCTCACTGATTCCTTAAAATAACCCAATGAGATGGGCCCCAGGCTCTGGAGGGAGAAAACGAAGCTTGGGGTGTGCGCAGGTGCCCAGGCTGGGATTCCCCCACGCCTGTCTGCTGAATAACCACTAGCTGTTCTGCCCCGAAGCCCCAGGCCTGCCCCACGCCCACAGCAGGGCTTTCATGGATGGGCGGCCATGTTAATGCTGGTGCTACCCTCCAACCCTGCCCAGAGCCAGTCCCCCCACGGGGCTGCCCATCCATGGTCTGCCAGAGGTGGCCTCTGCGTCAGGCCTTCCTGTCCCAGAGTGGGGGTCCTAAGTGTGACCACCCTCCCTCCTTACCCCTTAGCAATCTTTGCCCTAGGAAGAGCCCGCAGGGATCTCCTCACCCACCACCCCAGCTCCCAGTTTACACGGACGAAACCAAGGCCCACAGAGGGGTCAATACCTGCCCCAGGCTCCCCACTGCCTCCTGGGCAGAGCCAGTGTGAGACCCAAGCCTGGAAACTGTAGCCTCTTTCCCTCTGGACAGAGAAGGAGCCCAAGGGAAAGGCCTTTGGCGGAGAGGCCAGTAAGAGCCCCCAGCGGGTGTGGGCCTGCACACAGGCGCTCTCCATAAGCTCATGTTACCTGGGCAGTGCGCCTGGAACCAGGAAGTGGCTGGTTCTTAACAGGCTGGAGTGGGCAGGTGGGCCCAGGTGACCCTGGACACAGGAGCCCACTGGTATCCAGAAGAACCAGTAATCCTTTCCTCACCTGGCTAGATGAGGTGTGAGCGTGAGTTCCTGGCCTGGTCCCGAGTTCCTTCTGAGAGAAGAAACCCCTTAAGACACTTTCAGGCTGTGAGGCTCACCTGGTTTCCCCTTTGACCTCAGGAGGAAGTAGATGCGTCCCCAGCAGGCCTGCTGAGGGGACAAAGGAGCAGGGCTGTGGACAGGAAAACAGAGCCCCAAAGAGGGGCTGCACACCACAGTGCCCCACCCCCACCACACTCCTCTCGCAGGTGGGAGGAAGCTCCTGCCCCCAGCTCACCTCCTGGAAGCTGCTGGAACTCCAGTGGCCGAGAAAGGGCTGCCTCAGAGAGCCTTCGGCAGGCCCAGAACCCTTCACCAGAGCAGCCAGGGGTCCTCCTCTTTGGCCCAGAGAAAGTAGCTGGTGGATTGTTCCTGCCAGGTCACCACCCCAGAAAGACACATTATTTAGGCCAACCCAGCAAAAAACATCCATGGGGGTAGGACCAGGACAGAGGTTCCTCTGCGCACTGGGCCCAGGGGCTGAGCCAGCATCTGGGGGGTGGGAGGGGAATGGGGGATGGAGCCGGAGGAGGTGGCAACCTCTTGGGAGCAGGGTGAGTTCAAATCCCATCTGGTCCTTGGAGACCGAGGTTGAGGCTGTGAGCAGGGAGGCAGCTGGTGAGGGTGAGAGGTGTTCTTGCCCCTCTGTCACTGCCAAGGGGGGCCTGGGTTAGCCAGGGAGATCCCTTTGAAAATGATGGGTCCCGCCTATCAAGCTATCAAGTGCCAGCCCTGGGGCCATCTCTCTGAATTCATACAATCCCCTGGGGTAGGGACTACCTTTTTTTTTTTTTTTTTTTTAAGGAGGCTCCACACCTACATGGGGTTTGAACTCACAACCCTGAGATCGAGAGTCGCACGCTCTACCGACTGAGCCCGCCGGGCGCCCCAGTAGGGACTACGTTAATACCTTTTACAGATGAGGAAGCTGAGGCCCGGAGAAAGGCACTAATCTGCCAGGGTTCCACAGCAGGAGACTGAGCAAGGCCAGGTCTCGTTC